TAGATAGATAGATAGATAGATAGATAGATAGATAGATAGATAGATAGATAATAGATAGATAGATAGATAATAGATAGATAATAGATAGATAGATAGATAGATATAGATAGATAGATAGATAGATATAGATAGATAGATAGATAGATAGATAGATAATAGATAGATAGATAATAGATAGATAGATAATAGATAGATAGATAGATAGATAGATAATAGATAGATAATAGATAGATAGATAATAGATAGATAGATAGATAATAGATGATAGATAGATAGATAATAGATAGATAGATAGATAGATAATAGATAGATAATAGATAGATAGATAGATAGATAGATAGATAGATAGAGCAGAGAGGATTTGTCCCGGCTCTAGGGGACAAAACGAGATTAGCAGCACTCCCTTTAAGAGACTGCTTCTAATCTTCTAATATGAAAGACACCTGGGAGCCAGAAATCCTGCTGAATGATAGGGGATCAAATCCTTCTTTCCCTCATGAACATGCAGATCAGTCATCATTTGTTAGACGCATTTCTGCTGAATTTGTTGTTGTATTCTGTGTTACAACACACCGAACATTCGATTTGTAGACCGATCATTTCTTTGTGAGGGGCGAACATTCAACATCAGCCAGGAAGAAAATACGCATTTCCTTCACTGTAGATCTCTTTGACTAAGCCCTGTGTGTAGGGTGGAACGTGTCAGTGGGTGTAGCCTGGGAGGATCCAGGCTGAATCTCTTGGATTCATTGTTGGAGAATCCCAAACTTTCAGCCAAAATCATCCCAGGCTCACCGCCAAAAATGAGGAACAGCCATTAATGTGAGGCATAGCCTTTTCCCTGGTCAGGGGAGTCACTAGAGCCAATGGTTTGAAAAAATACATAATACCTCCCCCTGTTCTACAAAAAGGGCGGGCTCACAGCCGCCATATTGTTAGTGTGGTTTTTTGTGATGTTTTGCATTGGTCAATGTCCCCCATGACCATGCCGGGCTTGCCATGCCTTTTCCCCATGGACCAAATCAACTGTGGCAGAGGAGAGGAGAGTTATAGAGGAAGGAGCGGAGTCCTCCAGCAGTGCAGAGTATTTCAGGAGAGGAGTTATAGAGGAAGGAGCGGAGTCCTCCAGCAGCGCAGAGTATTTCAGGAGAGGAGTTATAGAGGAAGGAGCGGAGTCCTCCAGCAGTGCAGAGTATTTCAGGAGAGGAGAGTTATAGAGGAAGGAGCGGAGTCCTCCAGCAGTGCAGAGTATTTCAGGAGAGGAGTTATAGAGGAAGGAGCGGAGTCCTCCAGCAGCGCAGAGTATTTCAGGAGAGGAGAGTTATAGAGGAAGGAGCGGAGTCCTCCAGCAGTGCAGAGTATTTCAGGAGAGGAGAGTTATAGAGGAAGGAGCGGAGTCCTCCAGCAGTGCAGAGTATTTCAGGAGAGGAGAGTTATAGAGGAAGGAGCGGAGTCCTCCGGCAGTGCAGAGTATTTCAGGAGAGGAGAGTTATAGAGGATGGAGCGGAGTCCTCCAGCAGTGCAGAGTATTTCAGGAGAGGAGAGTTATAGAGGAAGGAGCGGAGTCCTCCAGCAGTGCAGAGTATTTCAGGAGAGGAGAGTTATAGAGGAAGGAGCGGAGTCCTCCAGCAGAGCAGAGGATGAGAGGAGAGTTATAGAGGAAGGAGCCGAGTCCTCCAGCAGTGCAGAGTATTTCAGGAGAGGAGAGTTTATAGAGGAAGGAGAGGAGTCCTCCAGCAGTGCAGAGTATTTCAGGAGAGGAGAGTTATAGAGGAAGGAGCGGAGTCCTCCAGCAGAGCAGAGTATTTCAGGAGAGGAGAGTTATAGAGGAAGGAGTGGAGTCCTCCAGCATTGCTCCACTGACTCTCATTGATGGTGGGTTCCTGTGCTAGGAAAGCCTATCCTGGCTCAATGTACACACATAAAGCCCCACAACGAGTTTCAGCCCCACCCACCGGGCTTAGTTTAGTTATAGGCGGGGCGAAACGCGTCAGCTGGGAAGAGTCAAGCTGAAGCCATCTCTATTCTTCTCTACACCTGGGGTGTCTATCTTGGAGCGTGGCGCTCCATCCTCATGCTTGCTTGTTAGCCCTACAAATGGGCAGAATTTAGTAACAAGATCCCCCCCATCCCCACCCCCCAAAGACTCAGCAGGAAAAATTCACGAACTTTGAGCAAAATTTGCAAAGTTGTCCCCACTTACCATAAATATAAGAAATCCCAACCAGCTCGAAGATCGCGATGATGACGAGAGAATATGACGCGGCATACGTGTCCACCAGCTGCAGCATGTAAATTCCACCCTGCAAGTGACAAAAAAATTTAGAGTCCCCATACCGCTCAAGAATCCGCAATCACTGGGTCGGGACACCATAACTTCGGCCCAGGCCACCTAAATTCTGACCCGCATTTGAGCGTAGTTAGACAAAAGGACAAAGCCGGCTTTGCTTAGACACAATTGGGGTCAATGGAATGTTCTCCAGGAATTCTAAAGTGCGAATGTGGAAAATACAACATTCTGGCCAGTAGATGGAGCTGAGGAGCACGCTTAATTCTTATAATACTCAGCACCATCTAGTGGCCATAATTTGGTATTTTCCACATTCACACCATCAAATGATAGAGAATATAGCCAGAGAACATTCCCCTCTTGGACATCTGACTTGGGCTCCTGGAGGGGCCCCGGGGGGGGGGGCCAACCTCTTTCCCGCTGACTATGGACCCAGGACTAAGGAGAACCCTTTCTTAGGGTTACAAGGAACCTTTTCCCCAAGAGGGTTACATCACTTCCCCGGGTACCTGGCTGGCTGTGAATTATACAAGTTCCCCTTTCCATGCAATTAGGGCTGGAGGGACTGTTTTTGGGACCCCTTGGCATACTGTGCATAGTGGAACTACGTGTGGGGGGTGAATTCCAGCAAACGCGGGGTTAAGAAACTTTATTTTCTGTTACAGGTTTCCTGGCCTCAACTATAGTTTGCTGTTAATTCGGTTCAGGTGATAAACTCTCACTTTGTTTAGTCTGTTCCAAGGAGCTGCAAGAGTATGTTAAAGTGTTAGTAAATTCACTATATCCGCTCTCCCCGGACCCCGCATTCACTATATCCGGTCTCCACGGACCCCGCATTCACTATATCCGCTCTCCCCCCGGACCCCGCATTCACTATATCCGCTCTCCCCGGACCCCGCATTCACTATATTCCCTCTCCCTGGACCCTGCATTCACTATATCCGCTCTCCCCGGACCCCGCATTCACTATATCCGCTCTCCCCTGGACCCCGCATTCACTATATCCGCTCTCCCCGGACCCCGCATTCACTATATCCGCTCTCCCCCGGACCCCACATTCACTATATCCGCTCCCCCCGGACCCCGCATTCACTATATCCGCTCCCCCCCGGACCCTGCATTCACTATATCCGCTCTCCCCCGGACCCCGCATTCACTATATCCGCTCTCCCCGAACCCCGCATTCACTATATCCGCTCTCCCCGGACCCCACATTCACTATATCCGCTCCCCCCGGACCCTGCATTCACTATATCCACTCTCTCCCCGACCCCGCATTCACTATATCCGCTCTCTCCCCGAACCCCGCATTCACTATATCTGGTCTCCCTGGACCCCGCATTCACTATATCCGCTCTCCCCGGACCCCGCATTCACTATATCCGCTCTCCCCGGACCCCGCATTCACTATATCTGGTCTCCCCGGACCCTGCATTCACTATATCCGCTCTCCCCGGACCCTGCATTCACTATATCCGCTCTCCCCCGGACCCCGCATTCACTATATCTGGTCTCCCCGGACCCCGCATTCACTATATCCCCTCTCCCTGGACCCCGCATTCACTATATCCGCTCTCCCCAGACCCTGCATTCACTATATATCCGCTCTCCCCGGACCCCGAATTCACTATATCCGCTCTCCCCGGAACCCGCATTCACTATATCCGCTCTCCCTGGAACCCGCATTCACTATATCCGCACTCCCCCGGACCCCGCATTCACTATATCTGGTCTCCCCGGACCCTGCATTCACTATATCCACTCTCCCCCGGACCCTGCATTCACTATATCCGCTCTCCCCGGACCCCGCATTCACTATATCTGGTCTCCCCGGACCCTGCATTCACTATATCCGCTCTCCCCCGGACCCCGCATTCACTATATCTGGTCTCCCCGGACCCCGCATTCAATCACTATATCTGGTCTCCCCGGACCCTGCATTCACTATATCCGCTCTCCCCGGACCTCGCATTCACTATATCCACTCTCCCTGGACGCTGCATTCACTATATCTACTCTCCCCGGACCCCCGCATTCACTATATCCGGTCTCCCCGGACCCTGCATTCACTATATCCGCTCTCCCCAAACCCCACATTCACTATATCCGCTCTCCCTGGACCCCGCATTCACTATATCCGCTCTCCCAGGACCCCGCATTCACTATATCGCTCTCCCCCCGGACCCCGATTCACTATATCCGCTCTCCCCCCGGACCCCGCATTCACTATATCCGCTCTCCCCGGAACCCGCATTCACACTATATCCGCTCTCCCCGGACCCCGCATTCACTGATTCACTATATCCGCTCTCTCCCCGGACCCCGCATTCACTATATCCGCTCTCCCCCGGACCCCGCATTCACTATATCCACTCTCCCCGGACCCTGCATTCACTATATCCGCTCTCCCCCGGACCCCGCATTCACTATATCTGGTCTCCCCGGACCCTGCATTCACTATATCCGCTCTCCCCGGACCCCGCATTCACTATATCCGCTCTCCCCGGACCCCGCATTCACTATATCTGGTCTCCCCAGGCATTCCCGGACCCTGCATTCACTATATCCGCTCTCCCCGGACCCCACATTCACTATATCTGGTCTCCCCGGACCCCTGCATTCACTATATCCGCTCTCCCCGGACCCGCATTCACTATATCCGCTCTCCCCGACCCCCCCGCATTCACTATATCCGCTCTCCCCGGACCCCGCATTCACTATATCTGTCTCCCCGGACCCCGCATTCACTATATCCGGTCTCCCCGGACCCTGCATTCACTATATCCGCTCTCCCCGAACCCTGCATTCACTATATCTACTCTCCCCCGACCCTGCATTCACTATATCCTCTCTCCCCGGACCCCGCATTCACTATATCCGGTCTCCCCGGACCCCCCGCATTCACTATATCTGGTCTCCCTGGACCCCGCATTCACTATATCTGGTCTCCCCGGACCCTGCATTCACTATATCCACTCACCCCCGGACCCCGCATTCACTATATATCCACTCTCCCCGGACCCTGCATTCACTATATCCGCTCTCCCCGGACCCCGCATGCATTCACTATATCCGCTCTCTCCCCGGACCCCGCATTCACTATATCCTGGTCTCCCCGGACCCCGCATTCACTATATCCCCTCTCCCTGGACCCCGCATTCACTATATCCCGCTCTCCCCGGACCCTGCATTCACTATATCCGCTCTCCCCGGACCCCGCTCTCACTATATCCGCTATATCCTCCCCGCATTCACTATATCCGCTCTCCCCGCATTTCACTATATCCGCTCTCCCCCCCCGACCCCGCATTCACTATATCCGCTCTCCCCCGGACCCCGCATTCACTATATCTGGTCTCCCCGGACCCCCGCATTCACTATATCCACTCTCCCCGGACCCTGCATTCACTATATATCCGCTCTCCCCGGACCCCGCATTCACTATATCTGGTCTCCCCGGACCCTGCATTCACTATATCCGCTCTCGCTCCCCCGACCCCGCATTCACTATATCCGCTCTCCCCGGACCCCGCATTCACTATATCTGGTCTCCCCGGACCCTGCATTCACTATATCCGCTCTCCCCCCGGACCCCGCATTCACTATATCCGCTCTCCCCCAGACCCCGCATTCACTATATCCACTCTCCCCCGGACCCCGCATTCACTATATCTACTCTCCCCGGACCCCGCATTCACTATATCCGGTCTCCCCGGACCCCGCATTCACTATATCCGCTCTCTCCCCGAACCCCGCATTCACTATATCCGCTCTCTCCCTGGACCCCGCATTCACTATATCCGCTCTCCCCGGACCCCGAATTCACTATATCCGCTCTCCCCGGAACCCGCATTCACTATATCCGCTCTCCCCCCCGGAACCCCGCATTCACTATATCCGCTCTCCCCGGACCCCGCATTCACTATATCCGCTCTCCCCGGACCCTGCATTCACTATATCCGCTCTCCCCGGACCCCGCATTCACTATATCCCCGCTCTCTCCCCGGACCCCGCATTCACTATATCCGCTCTCCCCCCGGACCCCGCATTCACTATATCCGCTCTCCCCGGACCCCGCATTCACTATATCCGCTCTCCCCGGACCCCGCATTCACTATATCTGGTCCCTCTCCCCGGACCCTGCATTCACTATATCCGCTCTCCCCCGGACCACGAATTCACTACTATATCCGCTCTCCCCAGACCCCGCATTCACTATATCCGCTCTCCCCCCCGACCCCGCATTCACTATATCCGTCTCCCCGGACCCCGCATTCACTATATCCGGTCTCCCCGGACCCCCGCATTCACTATATCCGCTCTCCCCGGACCCCGCATTCACTATATCTACTCTCCCCGGACCCCGCATTCACTATATCCGGTCTCCCCGGACCCCGCATTCACTATATCCGCTCTCCCCGGACCACGCATTCACTATATCCCCTCTCCCCGGACCCCGCATTCACTATATCCCACTCTCTCCCCGGACCCCGCATTCACTATATCCGCTCTCCCCGGACCCCGCATTCACTATATCCGCTCTCCCCCAGACCCGCATTCACTATATCCTCTCCCCGGACCCCGCATTCACTATATCCGCTCTCTCCCCCCGGACCCCGCATTCACTATATCCGCTCTCCCCGGACCCCGCATTCACTATATCCGCTCTCCCCCGGACCCCGCATTCACTATATCCGCTCTCCCCCCGGAACCCCAATTCACTATATCCGCTCTCCCCGGACCCGCATTCACTATATCCGCTCTCCCCGGACCCTGCATTCACTATATCCGCTCTCCCCGGACCCCCGCATTCACTATATCCGCTCTCCCCGGACCCCGCATTCACTATATCTGGTCTCCCCGGACCCCGCATTCACTATATCCGCTCTCCCCCGGACCTCCCCGGACCCCACATTCACTATATCTGGTCTCCCCCCGGACCCTGCATTCACTATATCCCGCTCTCCCTGGACCACGAATTCACTATATCCGCTCTCCCCCGGACCCCGCATTCACTATATCCGCTCCGTCCCCGGACCCCGCATTCACTATATCCGTCTCCCCGGACCCCGCATTCACTATATCCGTCTCCCGGACCCCGCATTCACTATATCCGCTCTCCCCAGACCCCGCATTCACTATATCTAATCGCTCTCCCCGGACCCCGCATTCACTATATCCGTCTCCCCGGACCCCGCATTCACTATATCCGTCTCCCCGGACCCCGCATTCACTATATCCGCTCTCCCCGGACCCCGCATTCACTATATCCCTCTCCCCGGACCCCGCATTCACTATATCCGCTCTCCCCGGACCCCGCATTCACTATACCGGTCTCCCCCCGGACCCCGCATTCACTATATCCTCTCTCCCCGGACCCCACATTCACTATATCCGCTCTCCCCGGACCCCGCATTCACTATATCCGCTCTCCCGGACCCCACATTCACTATATCCCTCTCCCCGGACCCCACATTCACTATATCCGCTCTCCCTGGACCCCTGCATTCACTATATCCGCTCTCCCCGGACCCCGCATTCACTATATCCCCTCTCCCCAGACCCCGCATTCACTATATCCGCTCTCCCTGGACCCCACATTCACTATATCCGCTCTCCCCGGACCCCGCATTCACTATATCCGCTCTCCCCGGACCCCGCATTCACTATATCCGCTCTCCCCGGACCCCGCATTCACTATATCCGCTCTCCCCGGACCCCGCATTCACTATATCCGCTCTCCCCGGACCCCGCATTCACTATATCCGCTCTCCCCGGACCCCGCATTCACTATATCCGCTCTCCCCGGACCCTGCATTCACTATATCCGCTCTCCCCGGACCCTGCATTCACTATATCTGCTCTCCTACAGTACACACAACATGAAAATGCAATTATTTTAGCAAATATAAAGTGCTAAATACCTTTTCTCATCAGCAGATTATAGCAATCTTGCGACTTCTATCAGTGTCCAGCAGAGCGCTGGTTAAAGCCTGTAGGAGGAGTTTTATTTCTGCTCTAGAAGGATGCAAAACCAGTGACCTCTGTCTGGACAGTGCTGATTGGCCCTGTGCTGATCACATGTACCCTCCCAAGAAAAAAAAAAAACTCTCTAGCAATACACACCAAACTGAGCATGTGCAGAGTGACTCCTCATGTTATGTCTTATCAGGAGATAAGTGGAGAACACTGGAAGAAGGGGAGGATCAAAGAAGAGAGGATCAAACAGCCTTTTTTACACAATGCGTAGGATTAACCCCTTAGGTCCCACAGTGAGTATGAGACTGATTGTACTGTTGGGGGTTCAGTAACACTTTATGAACACTATTGGACTGGATTTCCTCTGTTATTATTGTATCATATAGTTTGCCATTTTGTATCACTCCTATTACATAACTATGACTGACAAACCACCCAATCCGATTGCACGCTGTGGGTCCGTCCATAAACACCTATCCGGCCCAATGAAGTGAACGGTCCTATTGGGTATATATAGGGTCACCACTCACCTGTGTGATCATGGGGAACCCCATTATGAAGAATGCCAGGCAGCACACCAAGGTGAACAGCGGCTTGTGGGTACGCAGGTATTTGGGGTATTCGTCAGCCACGGACGTCACTATGGTCTCAATGGTGGCAAACTGAGGAGAAGAGATACAAATCCTTAATATAGTGAACACTGACAACACCACAACAACAACCACAACAACAACAACAACACCAACAAACAACAACCAGAACAAAAACAAAAAACCACCCACAACAACAACAACAACCAGACAACAACCCAACAACAACCACACAACAACAAAAACACAACAACAAACAACAACCCAACAACACACCACACACAACAACAACAACAAACAACCAAACAACAACAACAACCCCAAACACACAACCCCCCCCCCACCCCCCCAACCCCCAACCAACACACCCAACCCCACAACCACACAACAACAAACCAAACAACAACAACCACAACAACACAACAACAACAACAACAACAACAACCATCAACAACCACAACCAACAACAAACAACCACAACATCAACAACCTCAACAACAACCACAACAACAACCCCAACCCCCCACAACAACAAAAAAAACAACACTTTGCATGTTCCAAGGATGTAGCTGGCCATTGTACTTTAGCTATCTAGTCTGTCCAATCAGTTGCTTGATTGCATTCTATAAGACCAAGCAACCGATCAGCATAGCATAGCTAAAGTCTGCAACATCCAGTGGTTAACATATTTTTCAGAGTGAAGGAAAAACATCCCAGGGCACCCTTTAAATGAGCATGTTCCAAGGAGGGAGCTGGCCATTGTACTTCAGCTATCAAGTTTGCCCAACCAGTTGTCAGAATATATTCTGTAAGACTTGCTTCTGGATCAGTAATCAAGCAACTGATCAGCACAGCTAAAGTCTGCACCATCCAGTGGCCAGCAGGGAGGAACATGTTTTTCGGGGGGGGAAAACACATCCCATAGCACCCTTTAACTGTGCATGTCCAAGGATGTAGCTGGCCATTGTACTTTAGCTATCTAGTCTGTCCAATCAGTTGCTTGATTGCATTCTATAAGACCAAGCAACCGATCAGCATAGCATAGCTAAAGTCTGCACCATCCAGTGGTTAACATATTTTTCAGAGTGAAGGAAAAACATCCCATTGCACCCTTTAACTGTGCATGTCCAAGGATGTAGCAGGCCATTGTACTTCAGCTATCACGTCTGTCCAATCAGTTGCTTGATTGCATTCTATAAGACCAAGCAACCAATCAGCATAGCATTGCTAAAGTCTGCACCATCCAGTGGCCAACATATTTTTCAGAGTGAAGAAACACATCCCAGGGCACCCTTTAACTGTATATGTTCCAAGGAGGGCGCTGGCCATTGTACTTCAGCTATCAAGTCTGCCCAATCAGTTGTCAGATTACATTCTATAAGACTTGCTTCTGAATCAGTAGCCAAGCAACTGATCAGCACAGCTAAAGTCTGCACCATCCAGTGGTTTCAGAGTGAAGAAACACATCCCAAGGCATCCTTTAACTGTACATGTTCCAAGGAGGGAGCTGACCATTGTACTTTGGTGATCTAGTTTGCCCAATCAATTGTTTGATTGCATTTAAAAAGAGCAAGCAACTGATCAGCATAGCATAGCTATAGTCTGCACCATCCAGTGGCCAGCAGGGAGGAACATGTTTTTCAGAGTGACTAAACACATCCCAAGGCATCCTGTAACTGTGCATGTTCCAAGGATGGAGCTGGCCCTTGTACTTTAGCTATCTAGTCTGCCCAATCAGTTACTTTATTGCATTCTATAAGACCAAGCAACTGATCAGCATAGCATAGCTGAAGTCTGCACCACCCAGTGGCCAGCAGGGAGGAACATGTTTTTGAGAGTGAAGAAACACATATCAAGGCACCCTTTAACTGCGCATCCAATTGTACTTTAGCTATTTAGTCTTCCCAATCAATTGTTTGATTTCATTTAAAAAGACCAAGCAACTGATCAGCATAGCATAGCTATAGTCTGCACCATCCCATGGCCAGCAGGGAGGAACATGTTTTTGAAAAAACACATCACAGGGCACCCTTTAACTGTGCATGTTCCAAGGAAGAAGCTGGCCACTGTACTTTAGCTATCTAGTCTGTCCAATCAGTTGCAGATTGCAGAGTGAAGAAACACATCCCAAGGCACCCTTTAACTGTGCATGTTTCAAGGAGGGAGCTTCCCATTGCACTTTAGCTATCTAGTCTGCCCAATCAGTCGCTTGACTGCATTCTATAAGACCGAGCTACTGATTAGCACAGTCAAATCCTGCACCATCCAGTGGCCATCAGGTAAGAACATGCTTGTCTAAAGGGATGCCAGGGATGTGTTCTTTCATTCATGCTCATTACTCTTCATCACTTACACCCTCTGCCCTGAATAGGTGGCTACATTGAGAGAGCAAAATGAATTGTAGACTTGGGAGTGAAGGAAATGTAGGGAAGGGAATTGAAACTTGAAGCTTATATGAATAAAATATGAATCTTCCTGGTGTTAGAAAATTGCTTCATTCTATTGTATCTTATCAGAAGAAAAGATTGTCATCCAATCACATATGTGTGTACTCGGCAATGCCTCTCAGAAGCTCACAATTTGAACACAACAAACTCTCCTATTTTCGGGTTCAATTAATACTTTCCATTCACATGATTACTGGTAATCTGCTGAGATTTACAATGATGGAAAATAAGAATTGACTTTCCTCCCCTCCCCCACTCTCCTTCCTCTGATATTCCTCCAGCAGGCTGAGGGAAGATCTCCGTATGTTCCTCCATCTGCAAAGATCATCTCCTAACATTGGACATCGAACACATAATGACATCGACATTTCATAGAAGCCGAGATGACCAATGAGCTGCTCTGGTCTTACCATTGTATCCAGCCCCAGAGTGAGGAGCATGAGGAAAAATATGATGGCCCAAAACGGGGAGAGAGGAAGGCGGGTGAGAGCCTCGGGGTACACCACGAACGCAATGCCGGGTCCTGGGGGGCAGAAGTGGAAGAAGTCAGTTAATATGGCCATACTGCCCGCTACAGGCTAAATTATACTTGAAACATTCTAGGACCCCCAAGTGTCAGGGTGTCATTGTTCTGGACCCCCAAGTGTCAGGGTGTCATTGTTCTGGAACCCCAAGTGTCAGGGTGTCATTGTTCTGGAACCCCAAGTGTCAGGGTGTCATTGTTCTGGAACCCCAAGTGTCAGGGTGTCATTGTTCTGGGACGCCCCCAAGTGTCAGGGTGTCATTGTTCTGGACCCCCAAGTGTCGGTGTGTCATTGTTCTGGGACCCCCCAAGTGTCAGGGTGTCATTGTTCTGGACCCCCAAGTGTCAGGGTGTCATTGTTCTGGGACCCCCAAGTGTCAGTGTGTCATTGTTCTGGGACCCCCCAAGTGTCAGTGTGTAATGGTTCTGGACCCCCAAGTGTCAGTGAGTAATGGTTCTGGACCCCCAAGTGTCAGTGAGTAATGGTTCTGGACCCCCAAGTGTCAATGTGTAATGGTTCTGGGACTCCCAAGTGTCAGTGTGTCATTGTTCTGGGACCCCCAAAGTGTCATTATGTCATTGTTCTGGGACCCCCAAGGGTCAGTGTGTCATTGTTCTGGACCCCCAAGTGTCAGGGTGTCATTGTTCTGGAACCCCAAGTGTCAGGGTGTCATTGTTCTGGAACCCCAAGTGTCAGGGTGTCATTGTTCTGGGACGCCCCCAAGTGTCAGGGTGTCATTGTTCTGGACCCCCAAATGTCGGTGTGTCATTGTTCTGGGACCCCCCAAGTGTCTGTGTCATTGTTCTGGACCCCCAAGTGTCAGGGTGTCATTGTTCTGGGACCCCCAAGTGTCAGTGTGTCATTGTTCTGGGACCCCCCCATGTGTCAGTGTGTAATGGTTCTGGGACCCCCCAATTGTCAGTGTGTAATGGTTCTGGACCCCCAAGTGTCAGTGAGTAATGGTTCTGGACCCCCAAGTGTCAGTGTGTAATGGTTCTGGACCCCCAAGTGTCAATGTGTAATGGTTCTGGGACTCCCAAGTGTTGGTGTGTCATTGTTCTGGGACCCCCATTGTTCGCGCCAAAGTGTCATTATGTCATTGTTCTGGGACCCCCAAGGGTCAGTGTGTCATTGTTCTGGGACCCCCAAAGTGTCATTATGTCATTGTTCTGGGACCCCCAAGGGTCAGTGTGTCATTGTACTGGACCCCCAAGTGTCAGTGTGTCATTGTTCTGGACCCCCAAGTGTCAGTGTGTCATTGTTCTGGGCCCCCAAGTGTCAGGGTGTCATTGTTCTGGACCCCCAAGTGTCGGTGTGTCATTGTTCTGGACCCTATGATGTCAGTGAGTCATTGTTCTGGGACCCCCAAGTGTCGGTGTGTCATTGTTCTGGACCCCCAAGTATCAGTGAGTTATTGTTCTGGGACCCCCAAGTGTTGGTGTGTCATTGTCCTGGGACCCCTACGTGTCAGTGTGCCATTGTTCTGGACCCCCCAAGTGTCAGTGTGTCATTGTTCTGGGACCCCCAAGTGTCAGTGAGTCATTGTTCTGGGACCCCAAGTGTCAGTGAGTCATTGTTCTGGGACCCCCAAGTGTTGGTGTGTCATTGTCCTGGGACCCCCAAGTGTCAGTGAGTCATTGTTCTGGGACCCCCAAGCGTTGGTGTGTCATTGTCCTGGGACCCCCAAGTGTCACTGTGTCATTGTTCTAGGACCCCCAGGTGTCAGTGTGTCATTGTTCTGGGACCCCCAGGTGTCAGTGTGTCATTGTTCTGGGACCCCCAGGTGTCAGTGTGTCATTGTTCTGGGACCCCCAGGTGTCAGTGTGTCATTGTTCTGGACCCCCAGGTGTCAGTGTGTCATTGTTCTGGGACCCCCAGGTGTCAGTGTGTCATTGTCCTGGGACCCCCCAAGTGTCACTGTGTCATTGTTCTGGGACCCCCAGGTGTCAGTGTGTCATTGTTTTGCGCTCTGTAGACCCGATTCTCTCATACCTTGATCAGCCACCTTGTCAATGTCCACCTTCAGCTCGTTCGCCATGAAGCCGATGACAGAGAAGATGACAAATCCAGCGAATATACTGGTGGCGCTGTTGGTGCAGGTGACGATCAGCGTGTCCCTGAAGGAGAAAAAGTTCTCCATTATACATAGAAGAATGCCGCTTCCCCAGGAGACATGGAGATCCGGAGGCATGAGGTGCCGTGTACCTCCGTCATCTATTCAATTCATTCCAATACAATGATGGGAAAGATGGGATCAGCTAACAGAAAGTTCTACATCCAAAATGCAGCAAATGTCGCTGGAGCGTTGTGAGCGCGTGCCACGTTCGGTCAGCCAACTTCTTACAGTGCCTTGAAGAAGTCTTCACACCCCTGAAATGTCCCCCATGTTGTCATGTTACAATGTATTCCCCCCCCACCCCCTGAAATGTCCCCCCATGTTGTCATGTTACAATGTATTCCCCCCCCCCCTGAAATGTCCCCCATGTTGTCATGTTACAATGTATTCCCCCCCCCTGAAATGTCCCCCATGTTGTCATGTGACAATGTATTCCCCCTCCACCCCCTGAAATGCCCCCCATGTTGTCATGTGACAATGTATTCCCCCTCCACCCCCTGAAATGCCCCCCATGTTGTCATGTTACAATGTATTTCCCCCCCCCTGAAATGTACCCGATGTTGTCATGTTACAATGTATCCCCCCCCCCCTGAAATGTCCCCCATGTTGTCATGTTACAATGTATCCCCCCCCCCTGAAATGTCTCCCATGTTGTCATGTTACAATGTATTCCCCCCCCTGAAATGTCCCCCATGTTGTCATGTTACAATGTATTCCCCTCCCCCCTGAAATGCCCCCCATGTTGTCATGTTACAATGTATTCCCCTCCCCTCTGAAATGTCCCGCCATGTTGTCATGTTACAATGTATTCCCCTCCCCCCCCCCTGAAATGTCCCGCCCATGTTGTCATGTTACAATGCATTCCCCTCCCCCCCCTGAAATGTCCCCCATGTTGTCATGTTACAATGTATTCCCCCCCCCCCCCTGAAATGTCCCCCCATGTTGTCATGTTACAATGTATTCCCCTCCCCCCCTGAAATGTCCCCCCATGTTGTCATGTTACAATGTATTCCCCCCCCCCCCATGAAATGTCCCCCATGTTGTCATGTTACAATGTATTCCCCCCCCCCTGAAATGTCCCCCATGTTGTCATGTTACAATGTATCCCCCCCCTGAAATGTCCCCCATGTTGTCATGTCACAATGTATTCCCTCCCCCCCCAAATATCCCCCATGTTGTCATGTTACAATGTTTCCCCCCCCCCCCCCCTGAAATGTCCCCCATGTTGTCATGTTACAATGTTTCCCCCCCCCCCCCCCCAAATGTCCCCCATGTTGTCATGTTACAATGTATCCCCCTCCCCCCCTGAAATGTCCCCCATGTTGTCATGTTACAATGTATTCCCCCCTCCCCCCTGAAATGTCCCCCCATGTTGTCATGTTACAATGTATCCCCCTCCCCCCTGAAAATGTCCCCCATGTTGTCATGTTACAATGTATCCCCCCCCCCCCCCTGAAATGTCCCCCATGTTGTCATGTTACAATGTATTCCCCCTCCCCCCTGAAATGTCCCCCATGTTGTCATGTTACAATGTATTCCCCCCCCCCCCCCTGAAATGTCCCCCCATGTTGTCATGTTACAATGTATTCCCCCCCCCAAATGTCCCCCATGTTGTCATGTTACAATGTATCCACCCCCCTGAAATGTCCCCCCATGTTGTCATGTTACAATGTATTCCCTCCCCCCCAAATGTCCCCCATGTTGTCATGTTACAATGTATTCCCTCCCCCCTGTTGTCAAAATGTATCCCCCCCCCATGTTGTCATGTTACAATGTATTCCCCCTCCCCCAAATGTCCCCCCCCCCATGTTGTCATGTTACAATGTATCCCCCCCCCATGTTGTCATGTTACAATGTATCCCCCCCCCCATGTTGTCATGTTACAATGTATCCCCCCCCCCATGTTGTCATGTTACAATGTATCCCCCCCCCCATGTTGTCATGTTACAATGTATCCCCCCCCCCATGTTGTCATGTTACAATGTATCCCCCCGCCCCCATGTTGTCATGTTACAATGTATTCCCCAACGACTCGTCTTTGACTGAAGCGAACATTAAATCTCTCATAAGATGGATATAGAATACTACAAGTTCTTCATGACACCAAACCAGCCGACTTGGAGTGTTGTAATGTGATTTGGCCACTAGGAGTCGCTGCTTCACCATATTTTGAAGCTTTAGGATAACCCCCACAGAATGCATGGGATTCACAATGCAGAATGTTCTGGAATGGAGAAAAAAAAGATGGAATGGCCCCTCCCCCACCTCCTATGTACACACAATCACTAACCTCTCATAGGAAGGTTGTTATCCTTTCAAATGTCTTTTAATAGGTTTTAAATCTGATGTTTTCTTTAACGTAAAAACAGTTTTTCCGGCCAAAAGGTCCTCGCCCAGACACTTCCTGTTATAGGGTGACAACGCTTTGTCCCTGTCTTCCACCCATGCCAGGCACTTCCTGTTATAAGGTGACAACGCTTTGTCCCTGTCTTCTAACCATTACAGGCACTTCCTCTTATAGGGTGACAGCGCTTTGTCCTGTCTTCTAACCATGCCAGGCACTTCCTGTTATAGGGTGACAACGCTTTGTCCCTGTCTTCTAACCATTCCAGGCATTTCCTGTTATAGGGTGACAGCGCTTTGTCCCTGTCTTCTAACCATGCCACCCCTGTTATGCCTGGCACTTCCTTTCCTGTTATATGGTGACAACACTTTGTCCCTGTCTTCCACCCATGCCAGGCACTTCCTGTTATATGGTGACAACACTTTGTCCCTGTCTTCCACCCATGCCAGGCACTTCCTGTTATATGGTGACAACGCTTTGTCCTTGTCTTCTAACCATGCCAGGCACTTCCTGTTATAGGGTGACAACGCTTTGTCCCTGTCTTCTAACCATTCCAGGCATTTCCTGTTATAGAATGACAACACTTTGTCCTTTCTTCCACCCATGCCAGGCACTTCCTGTTATAGGGTGACAACGCTTTGTCCCTGTCTTCCAACATTGCCAGGCACTTCCTGTTATAGGGTGACAATGCTTTGTCCCTGTCTTCCAACCGTGCCACCAACAACGGGGCATAGTTCCTCCCAATGACACCAGCAATGGGGCACAATTACTCCCAATTATGCCAATGATGGTGCACAATTCCTCTTAATGACACCAATGAAGGGGCACAATTCCTCCCACTGACACCTACAGTATGATGGGGCACAATTCCTCCCACTGACACCAAAGATGGGGCACAATTCCTCCCAATGACACCAATGATGGGGCACAATTCCTCCCAATGACACCAATGATGGGGCACATTCCCTCCCAATGACACCAATGATGGGTCACAATTCCTCCCAATGACGCCAATGATGGGGCACAATTCCTCGCAATGACACCAATGATGGGGCACAATTCCTCGCAATGACAGGGCACAATTCCTCCCAATGACGCCAATGATGGGACACTATTCCTCCCAATGACGCCAATAATGGGGTACAATTTCTCCCAATGATGGGGTACAATTCCTCCCAATGACACCAATGATGGGGTACAATTCCTCCCAATGATGCAATGATGCAATGACGGGGCACAATTCCCCACACTGATAGTAAAGATGGGGCATTGTCTGTGGCCCTTACGTTAGAAAGTTTGGAGACCCGTTCCCTCGAGCTCACACAAAGAACATTCTGTAGGCCTCTAATGCTCCACCAGATAATCGGTTCTGACGGGACCCACCTGTAGAGATTATTGTGGAACTTGTTGTAGGAGGAGAGAGTGATGAGTCCACCCCAGGCCGCCGACAGAGAGAAGAAGATCTGCGTAGCCGCGTCCTTCCATACCTGGAAAATGTTCATACATTCTGTTCATTTCTTTAAAAAATAAACAAATTCTTTTTGGGGGAATCAAAAATCAACAATCGTGTGATTGGTCTGCAAGAGGCCGTCATATCTCCTGTGACTTCTATAGAGGTGACTCTTGCCCAATCTCCTCCTGCGGTCCTCTGACCAGCTTTACAGAAAAGTGAAATATTGCACAGCAATTCATCATTTCATCCCAGCGCTGCACCCCAGAGCCCCACCCCTTTTTCTGATCAGCCACACCTCTTTCCTGCTCAACTCTACCCCCCTTACTGCTCAGCCTCACTCCTTTCTACTTTCCTTCTCAACCCCATCCTCATGCTCAGCCTCACCTCCTTCCTATTCAGCTCCACCCATTTTCTGTTAAGCTACACCCTCTTCCTGCTAAACCTCACCCACCCCTCTTGTTCAGACCCACCCCCTGCCTTGCTAAACCCCATCCCCATCCTGCTCAGCCTCACCTCCTTCCTATTCAGCCCCACTCCTTTTCTGCTAAACCACACCCTCTTCCTGCTAAACCTCACCCACCCCTCTTGTTCAGACCCACCCCTGCCTTGCTAAACCCCATCCCTATCCTGCTCAGCCTCACCTCCTTCCTATTCAGCCCCCCACCCCTTTTCTGCTAAGTCACACCCTCTTTCTGCTAAACCTCACCCACCCCTCTTGTTCAGACCCACCCCTGCCTTGCTAAACCCCAACCCAATCATGCTCAGCCTTTTCCCTTACTGCTTAGCCCCACCCATTGCCTAATCAGCCCCACCCCTTTCCTACTCAACTGTTGAATGCCTGTTATTCAACCCAGAAGACTGAGGACATCTAGTGGCAGAAAAGAAGTACTGTGGGGCACAGTGTCAGAATATTTATACAGTCGTATTTTTTTTTTTTTTACTTTAATTCTGGTTTATTAATAATAAATTATTAGATAAAAATTAATATTCTTTGGTATGTAAATAATATTAAATTACTTATGGTTTATTTTATGTCTCTAAAGTATTGCATGTGTTCAAATAGACAGAAAGAGTTTGTCATTGTGTGGATCTGCACTTCCTATGCAGTGAAGTGACTAGTTTTGATAAACTTTTCCCGGCTTAAAAAAAAAAAAAAGTGACAGATTAACAGGTGCAAACCGTTCTGCTATTAGAGAAATCTTGCAATATTTATTATAATATATATATATATTTATTTATTTATTTTGTATTATATATATAGTATGTATTATATAAATATGTATATATTATGTATAATAAAATGAAACAAAACTATATATAATATAATTATATATTTTTTTTTCTTTTTTTTATGTTATTATATATAATAATATATATTTTATTGTGTTATATATAATAAAATTAAACAAAAAATACTTATCATATAATACTATCTATGTTAATATATAATAATATAATACTATCTATGTTTTAATTTATACATACTGTATATAATATATTTTTATTCTAATATATATATTTATTTCAAGTACTTATATAGCGCCGTCAATTTATGCCTGCGCTTTACATATATATTTTACATTCACATCAGTCCCTAACCCTCAAGGGGCGTACAATCTAAGGTCCCTAACTTACATTCATACATATTAGGGCCAAATTAGACAGGATCCAATTAACCTACCAGCATGTCTTTGCAGTGTGGGAGGAAACCGGATTACCTGGAGGAAACCCACACAGGCACAGGGAGAACATGCAAACTCCAGGCAGGTGGTGCCATGGCTGGGATCCGTACCAACGACCCCAGTACTGCCAGGCGAAAGTGCTAACCATTTAGCCACTGTGCTATATTTTTTTTTTTTTTTTACATGTGCTGAATCTAACCTAATCTAAAAAAAAAAAGGAAAAAAAAAATTAAACAAACAAATTTATTTATTTTATATGTATATATTTACATATATATATATATATATATATAAAAACATATAAAAACATATATATATATATATATATACATATATATAGATATACATATATATATATATAATATATATATAATATATATATATATATGTTTTACTTTACATATACAATATATACAGTAGATATACTGTAAAAATCTATAAATATACACACACACATATATAATATATATAAATATATAATATATATATATATATATTTATATATATATATATATATATATATATATAATAAAAAATGTATGTGTGTATTTATAGATATTCACTATATACTGTGAGTGTATATATATATATATATATACTGTATATATTGTATATATAAAAGTAAAACAAATAAATATTTCTATATACTGAAGCTCTTTGGCAGTGACCAGAACAGAATTCATGGCGCGGGTTAGTAAATCTATGAACGTATGACGCTGCACAAAACAAAAACCTCAGCGATCAGCAGCTGATCGCCTCTAATGTACATCCTGCATTTTCTGTGGGTTATAAATACACTCAGAATGTGTTTTCCGTCTGGGGATCGGTGAAGCCGCGTCGGTCCCTCCATCACTGACGCGTTGGGAAGCCCATGTGACCGCGCCGATCGATTAGGCAATTTAAAAGTAGATTACATGAGCGGAATGGAATTGCTCAGCCGGGAATAATGGGAGGAGAAATTCTGACACTTTTCATAATGTGAATGTCTTTACGCTCGCTTGTTATATTTTACTCCAAACCAATCGGGATCCGAGCTGAGAGAAAAAATGGCTGTTTAGCTGGAAAATGCAATCCTGTGTATTACTGCGCTTCGCATCCTCATGACTTTCATTATTACCTTTGGAGCTGTATTTTATTAAAATGTCAAAATCGAAGTTTAATCTATTTTTTTTTTTTGCTCCCCTTGGTTCCTCCCCTCCCCCTCATTAACATGCTGATGACATTTTTAAATAAAACCTTTCTATTCTCCTTACATTCCTTATTTCATAACCAGTGATGACATCATTGTATTGCACAGAGACCCAGTGATGACATCATTGTACTGCACAGAGAATCACAGAGACCCAGTGATGACATCATTGTATTGCACAGAGACCCAGTGATGACATCATTGTACTGCACAGAGAAATCACAGAGACCCATGATGACATCATTGTATTGCACAGAGACCCAGTGATGACATCAATGTATTGCACAGAGACCCAGTGATGACATCATTGTACTGCACAGAGAAGCACAGAGACCCAGTGATGACATCATTGTATTGCACAGAGAAGCACAGAGACCCAGTGATGACATCATTGTATTGCACAGAGACCCAGTGATGACATCATTGTATTGCACAGAGAAGCACAGAGACCCAGTGATGACATCGTTGTGTTGCACAGAGAAGCACAGAGACCCAGTGATGACATAATTGTATTGCACAGAGACCCAGTGATGTCATCATTGGGTCGCTGTGTTTCCCTATGCAATGCAGGCAGATCATGGCTGGTGGGAGGGGCCAGCTGTACATAGCTTCCGCAAAACACCACAGCACCCTGCCTCAGTACTCCTTCAAAGAGCCCTCAGTCCTGATGCAAGCAGTGGGCTGGCTCCTGGGAGGAGTTATGCAAATATGCCTTGATGGGCAGACATTCGTCTGGGAAAGTGGGCGTTCCTAGGCGGGCTGTATTTGCATGAAGACCACCCTAGGTAATTACCCGTTGTTAATAATGGGCTTAAACCCGCATTTTTTTTTTTTTCAAACGCGTTTAGACTCGTTCAATCTCGTCAAGTATTTTGCCGCCCTAGGTTGTAAAAAATAAGCCGAAAACCGCATTTTTTTCAGCGTTTTGGTGTTCATCCATTTTATTGGCCAGAATATTAACTAGACAACCAAATCCTGAGAACAAACGGTGAAAAAGAGTACAAGTCCAGCCATAAATGAATCCAAAGAAATGTTATTACTTTATTAAAAAAAAAAAAACATCTAACGCGTTTCTGGATATTGCATGTGGTTCCATCAGGAGGGAATTTTTTTCCCCTGCAGGAGCAAATTGGATCATGCTTTGCTGGGCTTTTTTGCCTTCTTCAACTGTGGGCAGGGGCGTCCCTAGGCAGGTGCGGGGGGTGCGCGCCGCACCGGGTGACACCGACCACACGGGGTGACACCGGTCCCGCTCCACGAAAAGGTAAGTTGTAAAGCAAGCCGATGATCCCTGCAGGATGGATCGGATCTGCGGATTGGGGAGCATAATGGATCAGACTCCGATCCACTATGCTCAATCCGCAGATCCATTCTGCGGGGATCGTTGGGGGGGGTGTCACCTAGTGTTACCGGGTGACACCAACCCTAGGGACGCCCCTGACTGTGGGTGTAGGATTATAACTTTTTTTAATTTTTTTTCTATGATTGAACTGGATGGACTTTTGTCTTTTTTCAGCCAAACTATAGCTCTTTTTTTTTTTATTTGGGGGGGGTGGGGGGGCGGGGTTAGACCCTCTGTCAAGTATTTCTTGCTGTCAGAGTCCCCATTGGGGAGATTCACTCTCTCTATCAGTATTGGTGACCATCTATAAAGACACACGGAGGAGAAATCCAAACATTTTTGAGAGCTATCCACAGAACAAGAGGTTAGGGGAAAGCTTCCCATGGGACACGGGTTCCAAGGGCAGTGGAATTCCCCTTGCTTTGGGAGATTTCCTCTCACTTCCTGTTGCACCTCTGGGACAGACAGCGAATGGAAATGTTCCCGATACAGACAGCAAAAAATAAATTGTCAGGGGTTCTAACCCTTCCCTACTCTACCCAACATCTTGGCTATGCATACCTGAGAAGAGGACTCCTCGAGGTGCAATCCCCAGGCTGGATTGTTGGACAGGAGAGTCCCCAGGACTGGTTAGACAGCCCAAGCCCTGATGAAGGGGAAATCATTTTAAGCCCCCGAAACACGTCGACTATTTCATTTCAGTCAAATGCTGAAGTATTAACTTTTTTTGGGACTCATTTAGTGTTGGTCTAGCGCTCTTTCTGCTGTTCATCCTCTGGATCTTTGTCCTGGGGCCCCAAGATGGTCCTGACCAAAGCCCACGGGCTCCAAGGATTGGAGGGACTTTCGTCAACGCTGACTCTAGGATTCAGATTTAAGAGGTTGTGCTAGAAGGGGTGATTTGGTGAGGGGATTTGTACTGGGGGGCGGACTTGTGTTAGGAAGGGGATGGTATGTGACTGTAATGTTACTATTGGAAAGTACCTTTTGGATAAACAGCGCCCTCTCCTGCTTAAAGAGGTGTAGGACCTCCAGCATATGTAGCGCTATTGCTGTAATATTGCCGACCAAACGCAAATGTGCGGCCTCCCAGCGTCTAGGAAGCTGCACATTTGCGTTCTATTAAAAAAGGACATGTGCCGAGAACGCGCGCCCTGCGCGCTCCCAGCACACATGTCCGGTACTCACGGAAAGGTCCCGTTCTCCTCTTTCGATCGGGACCTTTCCCGATCAAGTGACCGCCGTGACGGCGCGTCACGGCGGTCACATGACCCTAAACCCCACCTCCCGGCTTCTGAAACTCTTAAAGGGCTGGGAGGGTTAATAATGGAATGTGCCTTGTGGATAAACAGCGCCCTCTACTGCCTGAAGAAGTGTATTATTACAGGTACTTATATAGTGCCATCAATTTACGCAGCGCTTTACATGTATATATTTATTATACATTCATATCAGTCCGTGACCCTCAAGGTGCGTACAATCCACAGTCCCTACCTTATATTCATACATACTAGGGTCAATTTAGACAGGAACCAATTAACCTACCCTGACCTCCAGCATAATGTAGTGTTGTAGTAATGTTACTACTGGAAAGTGCCTTGTAGATAAACAGCGCCCTCTCCTGCTTGAAGAGGTGCAAGACATGCAACATATGTGATGCTATTGCTGTGATATTACTATTGGAAAGTGAATTTTGGATAAACAGCACCCTCTCCTGCCTGAAGAAGTGCCCACAGGCACTTGTATAGCACCATCAATTTACGCAGCGCTTTACATGTATATATTATTGTACATTCACATCAGTCCCCACCCCCCGAGGAGCGTACAATCTAAGGTCCCTAACTCACATTCATACATACACATATTAGGGCCAATTTAGACAGGAGACAATTAACCTACCCTGACCTCCAACATATATGATGCTGTTGCTGTAATATTACTATTGAAAAGTACCTTGTGGATAAACAGCGCCCTCTCCTGCATGAAGAGGTGTAAGACCTCCAGCATATGTAGTGCTATTTCTGTAATATTACTATTGGAAAGGTCATTTTGCATAAACAGCGCCCTCTCCTGCCTGAAGAGGTGTAGGACATGTAACATATGTGATGCTGTTGCTGCAATATTACTATTGAAAAGTACCTTGTGGATAAACAGCGCCCTCTCCTGCCTGAAGTATATTATTTCAGGTACCTTTACAGCACTGTCAATTTACGCATATATATTGTACATTCACATCAGTCCCTAACCCTCAAGGGGCGTACAATCTAAGGTCCCTAACTTACATTTATACATATTAGGGCCAATTTAGACAGGAGCCAATTCACCTACCCTGACCTCCATCATATGTAGTGCCATTGTAGTAATATTACTACTAGAAAGTGCCTTGTAGATAAACAGCGCCCTCTCCTGCCTGAAGAGGTGGATGACCTCCAGCGTATGTGGTGCCATTGCTGTAATATTAATAACGGAATGTGCCTTGTGGATAAACAGCGCCCTCTCCTGTCTGAGGAAGTGTATTATTGCAGGTACTTATATAGTGTCCTCAATTTACGCAGCGCTTTTCATGTATATATGTTTTATACTTTCACATCAGTCCCTAACCCTCAAGGGACGTACAATCTAAGGTCCCTAACCCTCAAGGGACGTACAATCTAAGGTCCCTAACTCACATTCATACATACATACACGTACTAGGGACCATTTAGACAGGAGATAATTCACCTACCCTGACCTCCAGCATATGTAGTGCCATCGTAGTAATATTAGTAATGAAAATGCCTTTTGGATAAACAGCGCCCTCTCCTGCCTGAAGAAGTGTATTATTAAACTTACTGATATAGCGCCGTCAATTTACACAGCGCTTTACATGTATATTGTACATTCACATCAGTCCGTAACCATCAAGGGGAGTACAATCTAAGGTCCCTAACTCCCATTTATACATACTAGGGCCATTTTAGACAGGAGCCGATTAATCTACCTGACCTCCAGCATATGTAGTGCCATTGTAGTAATATTACTACTGGAAAGGTCATTTTGCATAAACAGCGCCCTCTCCTGCTTGAAGAGGTGTAGGACATGTAACATATGTATGTGATGCTGTTGCTGCAATATTACCATTGAAAAGTACCTTGTGGATAAACAGCGCCCTCTCCTGCATGAAGTGTATTATTACAGGTACTTATATAGCACTGTCAATTTACGCAGCACTTTACATGTATATATTTATTGTACATTCACATCAGTCTGTAACCCTCAAGGGGTGTACAATGTAAGGTTCCACTCATACATACACATTCTAGGGCCAATTCAGACAGGAGCCAATTCACCTACCCTGACCTCCATCATATGTAGTGCCATCGTAGTAATATTACTACTGGAAAGTGCCTTGTAGATAAACAGCGCCCTCTCCTGCCTGAAGAGGTGTAGAACCTCCAACATATGTGATGCTGTTGCTGTAATATTACTATTGGAAAGTGCTTTGTGGATAAATAGCGCCCTCTTCTGCCTGAAGAAGTGCCCACAGGTACTTATATAGCACCTTCAATTTACGCAGTGCTTTACATGTATGTATTTATTGTATAATCACATCAGTCCATAACCCTTAAGGAATGAACAATCTAAGGTCCCTAACTTACATTTATACATACACATACAGGGGCCAATTTAGACAGGAACCAATTCACCTCCCAGCATATGTAGTGCTATTGCTCTAATATTAGTAATGGAAAGTGCCTTGTGGATAAACAGCGCCCTCTCCTGATTGAAGAGGTGTATGACCTCCAACCAATGTGATGATAGTGCTGTAATATTACTATTGGAAAGTACCTTGTGGATAAATAGGGCCCTTTCCTGCACAGGGGCAGACTGAAAACTCATGGGGCCCCTGGGCAATAGGGGATCATGGGGCCCCTTTGTCCTTCCCCAAACTCAAAAAAGCCTATGAGAAAGGTACCAGGGCATCTCATGGGGCCCCCTACTGACCCCGGGCCCTCGGGCAGTGCCCGAGTTTCCAAATGGTCAGTCCGCCCCTGTTCCTGCATGAAGAGGTGTAGGATCTCCACCATATGTGATGCTGTTGCTGTAATATTAATATTGGAAAGTACCTTTTGGATAAATAGCGCCCTCTCCTGCTTGAAGAGGTGTAGGACCTCCAACTGATGTGATGCTGGTGCTGTAATATTACTATTGGAAAGTACCTTGCGGATAAATAGTGCCCTTTCCTGCACAGGGGCAGACTGACAACTCATAGGGCCTCTGGGCAATAGGGGATCATGGGGCCCCTTTGTCCTTGCCCAAACTCAAAAAAGCCTATGAAAAAGGTACCGGGGCATCTCATGGGGCCCCCTACTGGCCCCGGGCCCTTGGGCCGTGCCCGAGTTTCCAAATGGTCAGTCCGCCCCTATTCCTGCATGAAGAGGTGCAGGACCTCCAACATATGTGATGCCTTTGCTGTAATATTAATATTGGAAAGTACCTTTTGGATAAATAGCGCCCTCTCCTGCATGAAGAGGTGTAGGACCTCCAAGACATGTGATGCCTTTGCTGTAATATTACTATTGGAAAGTACCTTTTGGATAAACAGCGCCCTCTCCTGCTTGAAGAGGTGTAGGACCTCCAAGACATGTGATGCTGTTGCTGTAATATTAATATTGGAAAGTGCCTTGTGGATAAAAAGCGCCCTCTCCTGCTTGAAGAGGTGTAGGACCTCCAACACATGTGATGCTGGTGCTGTAATATTACTATTGGCAAGTGCCTTGTGGGTAAACAGCGCCCTCTCCTGCTTGAAGAGGTGTAGGACCTCCAACAGATGTGATGCTAGTGCTGTATTATTACTATTGGCAAGTGCCTTGTTGATAAACAGCGCCCTCTCCTGCTTGAAAAGGTGTAGGACCTCCAACAGATGTGATGCTGGTGCTGTAATATTAATATTGGAAAGTGCCTTTTGGATAAACAGCGCCCTCTCCTGCTTGAAGAGGTGTAGGACCTCCAACACATGTGATGCCTTTGCTGTAATATTAATATTGGCAAGTGCCTTGTGGGTAAACAGCGCCCTCTCCTGCTTGAAGAGGTGTATGCCCTGTAACATATGTATGCTATCGCTGCAATATTACTACTAGAAAGTGCCTTGTGGGTAAACAGCGCCCTCTCCTGCTTGAAGAGGGTGTATGACCTCCAACACATGTGGTGCCATTGCTGTCAATTGCCTTATTTCTGTGATCCCTCAATTTCTACAATATATACAAAGTCTTAGTATCCATGCGTGTTCACTCAATTCTCAGGTACACTGGTCAGGCCCCATCTAGAGAAGCCTTAAAAATCGACATTTTTTTTCATTTGAAAAACATTTCAATAGGTGTTCATTTTTTCCTATAGCCAGCTTTTGCGCTCTGTGGCCTCCATGCTTACCATGGCATCCCCCAGCTTCTCCCATTTGGGGGTGATGAAATACCAGATTCCGTCTCCGGCCCCAGGCAAGGTCACCCCTCGGATGAGGAGGATGACGAGGACCACGTAAGGGAACGTGGCTGTAAAATACACAACCTGGACGATAAAGCAAAACAGGATTATTTTCCTATAAATGGTATGAGTAGGGAGTGTGGTGCAAACAACAGCACTGGGTCACCACCATCACAGAGGACAGACTGGACAGATCCTGGAGAGGTTACACAGATCCTAGAGAGACCATGACACGTGCACGATCCCTCCGAGTGTATGGCGCGGCTCTGCCGGTCATGTGGTCATACAAACGGCCAGGAAGGGGCTTTACAAATTCCTATTGGTGACCGCACTACAGACAGTGCACTCTGCATGCCAGGCTATCGAGGCGTGTTGTTTTTATTCTATGTGGGCATATCGTGTGCCCACTGATTAGCAGTGATTGTGCTTTACTGTTCCTCTCGCTCTGTGAAGAGACTTTCGCTCAAAACAATATAACCCTACAAAACACTACTTAACAATCTCAGTCATAGATACAAAATAATTGATGCAGCGCTGGTTTCCTAACACTTATATCGATACATTTTATTTAGGAACAAATCCCCCAACAACAGTGGAATACGTAGGTGCAAAAGACACACAAATTTAGGTATCAGTCCATACAGAAGTCCGCATCAGCCTGCAGGTGCCGGTGTAAAAGGAGACCAAGAATGAAGAAGAATCCTTCACCGTCCACCAGGGCTGTGGATAAGGGGGGTACCACCAGTCCTCGGGTGTGGGGCCCAGGCCAGCATGAGGGGCCCAGGCAGGGGTAGGGGGGAAAGTGACAGAGAGGAGGAAGAAATACAAAGGAGAGAGAAGGAGGAGAGGAAAACGGAATATGGAGGAGGAAAGAGAAGGGGGGTTACAGAGTGAGTAAAGTGGGGAAAAGAGAGGGAGAGAGAGAGCGAGAGCGAGAGAGAGAGAGAGAGAGAGAGAGAGAGAGAAGGCGAGAGAACAGAGAGGACGAAAAATAAGAGAGGAAAGAGAATAGAGAAGAAAGGAGAGTGGGGGGAGTGTGTGTGTGTGTGGGGGGGGGGGGGATATGAGGAAGAAAGTGGGAAGGGGGGGAAGAGAGAAAAAAAGCCAGGGCAAGAGAGAGAGTATGAAGGCAAACAGTGTCTGCTCTGGTCTCACTTTAGGAAACCCATAGTGCTCTAAGAATCCTGTGTCATGAGTGCATTCTAGTAAAGAAGGGAAGGGTAGGTGAAAAGTGACAGAGAGGAGGGAAGAAAGACAAAGGAGAGAGAAGGGGGAGAGAAAAACAATATGGAGGAGAAAAGAGAAGCGGGGTTAGAGAGTGAGTAAACGGGAAAGGAGAGGGAGTGAAAGAAAGAGAAGGAGAAAAGAAGGAAGAGAGAAGAACAGAGAGGAAAGGGAATAGAGAAGAGGAGAGTGGGGGAGTGTGTGTGTTGTGGGGGGGGGGGGGGATATGAGGAAGAAAGTGGGAAGGAGGAAGAGAGAAAAAAAGCCAGTGAGAGAGAGAGAGAGAGAGTATGAAGGCAACCAGCGTCTGCTCTGGTCTAACTTTAGGAAACCCATCGTACTCTGAGAATCCTGTGTCATGAGTACATTCTAGTAAAGAAGGGAAGGGTAGGCGGGAAAGTGACAAAGAGGAGGAAAGAAAGAAAGAGGAGAGAGAGGGAGCAGAAAGGAAAGGGTAGAGAGAGAGAGACAGAGAAGGTGAAAGAGAGGGGGAGGGAGGGAGAGAGAGAGAAGTAGGGAGAGAAAAGGAGCAAGGGTGGGGGGGGGGGGGGGGAGAGAGAGAGGGGGGGGGAAAGAAGGAGGAGAGGAGAGAAAGAGGAGAGAGATGAAAAATAGAGGAGAGGGAAAGAGAAGGAGAGAGAAGGGGAGAGAGAGAGGGGGGGGGAGAGGGGGGGCAGGGAGGGAGGGAAATAGAAGATAGAGGGAGAAAGAGAGAGAGAGAGAGAGGCATAAGCAGAGAAAGAGAGAAAGAGATGGAGAGAGAAGTAAAGAGAGAGAGAAGGAGGGAGAAAAACAGAGAGAAATGGGGAGAGAGAGGGGGTAAGAAAGAGAGTAGGATGGAGAAAGAAAGAAAAAGAAAGAAAGAAAGAAGAGAGAGAGAGAAAGAAAGAAAGAAAGAAAGAAAAAGAAAGAAAGAAAAAGAAGAAAGAAAGAAAGAAAGAAAGAAAGAAACTAGAGAGAGGGCATACAGTAACTGGATGCTGGAAAGAAGATACATTTAGAGAAAGACACGGGTCTAGTCCAACCTATGTGTATAGAAAGGAGAAAAAAGTTGGGGACCAAACATGGATAAAAGGACTGGGAGAGAGAGAAGGAGAGAGAGGGGAGGGGTCAAATAATGTGATAGGAGATACTGAAATGGAGAATGGAAGGGGGGGGGGGGGTGATATATGAGAGAGGACAGAGGGAGGGAAGGCAGAAGAGAAGATAAAACAGTGCCAGAGAGAGAGTCTGAGGGTAAACAGCTTCTACTACAGACCTTCCTTTAGAAAACCCCCAGTGCTCTGAGAATCCTGTGTCATGAGTGCCTCCTCTATTAACATATCTAGGTATCCATCTCTTCACTCAGAAGGGTACATGTCAGCCATGTCAAATCATCTTGTGAAGGAAGCCTGGTCTGGGAGACGTCGAGATGAGAGGAGAGGTAAAGCACAACCTACAGAGCAGGAAGCAGAGACTGCATATGGAATGAGCAGGGCGGACTGACAACTCATGGGGCCCCCGGGCAATAGGGGATCATGGGGACCCACACCCAAAAAAGCCTGTGAAAAGGTACCGGGGGCATCTCATGGGGCCCCCTACTGACCCCGGGCCCTCGGGCAGTGCCTGAATTCCAAAATGGTCAGTCCGCCCCTGGGAATGAGCAAGCATGGCAGCCCCAAATGTGAACATATATATAAATGTATATTAGAACCCTATACAGGAACCTGTCGTTTCATACTCCAACATATGTTGATAGATTCATTTACATTACCATTTTAACAGATATACAGTTGCAAGAAAAAGTATGTGAACCCCTTGGGATTACGTGGAGTTTTGCATGAATTGGGCATAAAATGTGCTCTGAACGTCATCTAAGTCACAACAATAGAAGAACACAGTCTGCTGAACATAATACTACACAAACATTAGATGTTGCCATGGTTTAATTGCACATAACATGTAAACATTCACAGTGCAGGGAGGAAAAAGTATGTGAGGCCCTAGCTTAATGACTTCTCCCAGAGCTAATTGGAGCCAGGAGTGAGCCAACCTTGACTCCAATCAGTGTGATGATATTGGATGTGTTGCTGACAGCTGTCCTGCCCTTAAAAAAACACACACCTGTTTTGGGTTTATTGGTTTCAAGAAGCACTGTCTGATGTGAACCATGCCTCGCAGAAAAGAGCTCTCAGAAGACCTACGATCAAGAATTGTTGACTTGCATGAAGCTGGAAAGGGTTACAAAAGTATCTCCAAAAGCCTTGATGTTCATGTGTCCACGGTAAGACAGACTGTCTACAAATGGAGAAAGTTTAGCACTGTTGCTACTCTCCCTAGGCGTGGTCGTCCTGTAAAAATGACTGCAAGAGCACAGCGCAGAATGCTGCATGAGGTAAAGAAGAATCCCAGAGTGTCAGCTAAAGACCTACAGAACTCTGGCACATGCTAACATTTTTGTTGACACATCTACAATAAGGAAAACATTAAACAAGAATGGAGTACATGGGAGGACACCACGGAGGAAGCCATTGCTGTCCAAAAAGAATATTGCAGCACGTTTGAAGTTTGCAAAAGAGCACCTGGATGTTCCACAGCACTACTGGCAAAATATACTGTGGACAGATGAAACCAAGATTGAGTTGTTTGGGAAGAACACACAACACTGTGGTGAAAAAAAGGCACAGCACACCAACATCAAAACCTCATCCCCACTGTGAAACATGGCGGAGGGAGCATCATGGTTTGGGGCTGCTTTGCTGCCTCAGGGCCTAGATGGATTGTTGTCATTGATGGGAAAATGAATTCCAGAGTTTATCAAGACATTTTGCAGGAAAACGTACGACCATCTGTCCGCCAACTGAAGCTCCGCAGAGGATGGGCGATGCAACAGGACAATGACCCAAAGCATACAAGTAATTCAACAAAACAATGGCTGCAACAGCACAGAATACGCCTTCTGGAGTGGCCCAGTCAGAGTCCTGACCTCAACCCGATTGAAATGCTGTGGCATGACCTTAAGAGAGCGATTCACACCGGACATCCCAAGAATATTGCTACACTGAAACAGTTTTGTGAAGAGGAGTGGTCCAAAATGACTCCAGATCGTTGTGCAGGTCTGATCTGCAACTACAGGAAATGTTTGGTTGAGGTTATTGCTGCCAAAGGAGGGTCAACCAGTTATTAAGTCCAAAGGTTCACATACTTTTTCCTCCCTGCACTGTGAATGTTTACATGTTATGTGCAATTAAACCATGGCAACATCTAATGTTTGTGTAGTATTATGTTCAGCAAACTGTGTTCTTCTATTGTTGTGACTTAGATAACGTTCAGAGCACATTTTATGCCCAATTCATGCAAAACTCCACGTAATCCCAAGGGGTTCACATACTTTTTCTTGCAACTGTATCTATAAAAAAAAAAAAAGGAAAAAGTACAAAGTCCCAATTTATGCAAATTTAGAGAGCTGATATTTTGTTGAAATGCTAAAAAGCGAAATATTTGGTGTGACACCCGGGATGCATTGCCCTTGGAGCCTGGCTGTGTGCGTGGGGACGGCGCTGAGCCCTGCGTACACTCGGAGGGACGCGGCCCGTGTGAGCACCTGGAATAAAAGAGACATTACAGCAATCACAGAAGGTCACAGTAACTATGTGCACAAAGCAGAGTATCACAGGAGGCACAGTGTGACGGCACAGAACATGGAGGGGGACATCTACCAAAATCTCCCCCGACACTTCAGGAGGGAACACCGAAGGCTGTGATGGTGTGTGATGACTGCTGCCACCTACTGGCTCAACTGTCACTGTACTGTCACCTAGGCAAGGGGGGGCCTTGTGTTTCCCAGTAGAGGTTTTTCACCCCGAAAAGTGCAATATGTA